AGGGAGAGACTGTACATTTATGAGGAGAGGAGACAGGCTCTGGAGACTTGCTGGAGAGAGTGGGAGGAAAAACGGGCCCAGAAGAAAGAGGAAAAGAAGGCAAAGAAGGAGAAAAAGTGAAGGTGGAATTGGAGGAGTACGGTAACTCAGAAGATCCAACAAACTGCAAATAAAAAAACGAGAAATCACTGATTATAAAAAGGGCTGCAAATACATTGATGTTCTGCAAACTCAAATTGCATCAAAATGACGACACAGAGCTGCATTTAAACACATGCAACTTAACGCAAATGCTGCAAAGTCCATCACAACACAATGGAAATGCTTTCAGACACTGGATTTATAGTGTTGAATTCTATTCAGCATAAACATTCACCGGGAAAAGTGTGACCCTTATTAGTCCCACAACGGGGAAATTTCACCTCTGCATTTAACCCATCCGTACAGTGAAACACCACATACACACTAGCGAGCACACACGCTGGGGGGCTGTGACCACGCTTGCCCGGGTGGGCAGCCCTATCCACAGCGGCTAGGGAGGGCACCTCAGTCATGTACTGTCAGCTCTGGGGATCGAGCCGGCAGCCTTCTGGTCACAGAACCGGTTCCCTAGCCTCCAGCCCACGACCGTCCCCCAAGTATTTTAGCATATAATTTGCTCCACATGTCCTTCATCACAGTTCTGAAAACATGGTTATGATGGAATTAGCTGTAGAGTTTAACTGTAAATTTCAATCAGCAACACAAGATAAGACTGATAACTGATACCAGCTGTAACAGATCAGATGGAAAACCAGCCAGGTGAACCATCAGTTTACTGGAGCGTGAGTCTGCATGATCTTATGAACTTCAGTCTGATTTCCCATAACAGGTATTTCATCCCTTTTGAGAGTCTTCCAGAAACATTTCCGTTGTGTTTGCAGCATTTCTGACGTTGCATGTGTTTTTCTGAATTTGCAGCGTGTTGGTGAAGTGTGTTCAGGTGTAGTCATGGTGATGAAAGTGTATCACAATTTTCATCATGTTTATGAGTTTGCAGTGTGTTTTTAAATGTGCTGCGCATAGAGTCTCGTTGGCCGCCGTAGAAGAGTGATAGACGATAAAATCATACGCTTTTCTTTAAAAAGATTGAACAGCATCATAGACAAAGTTCTCTTTTAAGAAATTATCACTCATAATAGCTTTAAAATGTTTAACAATTCCAGTATCCTAAAGATCTAAAGGGGAACTCACTGTTTTTTCAAAAGTTTGTCATAAGTCAGTTCTAAGAGTGGTTTGATGTGAAATGGTTCACTATAGTGAAACGTACTGAGTCAGCATTGATCACAGTGAAGGTGATAGGAACCAGACGTCTGAAGTGTTTAATGTCTCTAAAATGTCTGACAGAAAGTTATTATACTAAAGTTGTTAAGAATATGTTGTCTGATGCCGGAGACACTGAATCCGTTTACATGCACTTAATAATCTGATAACTGCAGAAAATCAAATTTTGTCAGTAATCCGATCAACATGTTTACATACATGTGAGTAATCAGATAATGTGATTACAGGTCTACGTGAATAGATAGTACTCAGATTTCTGATTTGCAACCAGCCAATAAACTCACAGAAGAAGATGTGACGTAAACATGATGTAAAACTCAAACTTAACGCTGCAGCTTTTCTTTTCTTTAAACATCGCACCACTTTACCTGAAAATATGAACATACATCATCTAGAAGATGAAGAACATTTAAATCCTTCATTTCATTGAGAATGTATTTGGTTTCAGCGTCGCTTCAGAAGTGTTTTGCTGCGTCTCGCGGCAACGTTGCTTTCTTATTTAAAGTACAGCAGTCTATTCCGCACATGCGCAAACTGAGAAATCCGAAAGAAATCAGAGTAAGAGTTTACATGCACTGAGAAATGTGATTACTGAGCTAAAATCCAGCTCTCTTTATTGGATTTCTTAATCAGATTTCTAGATCGGAGCATGCTGTTTATGATAGACCACTGTAGTCATGCATAATTCTGTAGTCCTTGTTATGCCCATATTAGGAACTCTGAGTCTAAACTCCATAACCCGATATGTTTAGGGTGCGATAGAGGCGATTTTTCGAAAAAAACCTATTCATTCTGGCCAAAAAAAAATGGAGCATAGAACCGGAGTTCCTAATATGGGCATAAGAGCATAGAGCCGGCTACAAAATGAGGACTACAGTGGTCTATTAACCCAATCATTTTGGAATTAGTCACCCTCTGGCGTTTAAAAACCCGCTAGACATTACTCTCTAAGTTTAGCACTTCTCATGTTGGTGGCAGCTCAAAGGTGATAGAGACGGGTGATAAAGCTTAACAGTAATACTAGAAAAAGCTGTGATTTAAAACACTGATTTAAATTTAAACTGAGTTATAATGCTGTATGTCTGTAGTAGCTCTGTTTAAAGCACTCGTTTAACTTTAAATGCAGCTAAAATGCTGAGTGTCTGGAGTGGCCCTGCTTATT